GATCCTGCGTGCTCAGAGTTTGAGCACTCCCGGAGAGCAGGCAGGAGGACAACAGTAGTGCACTGTGACACTGCTCTACTCCATTATCCTCCTGGTTATAGGACAGAAGCTGCTGTCAGACATATCAATTGCCTGCACTGGCCGCAATGTCTTAAGCTACTGAAACGTTGTTGTGTGGACCACAGCTTTGCCCGCTTATACATATTAGTATTCCAACTATGGAGTGTTGAACTTAGACAACACTGAGGCTGTATTACACCTGTTGACTGCCTTCTGGCATAGTAATGTGTTTTTTTTTTTTTTTTTTTGTGGGAGAATTGAGCCACCCAAGAGGTAAGCTCTGCTCTCACTTCGCTTTCCTGCAAAGCCACCCTGTGGCATGAGCTTGACACAAAAATCATCTCAGGGCCACTTTTCAATTTCCCTTTTTTAATCTATTCCAAGGTCTCTAAAATGTGGTATCTTAGGTGAAGACAGAGGTGGTGTAGTGATTTCTTTCCTTTCAGTTTTCTGGTTACATTTTTGGCACTCTTTTTCTTTTTTTTCAGGGAAATCAGGGATACATGGTCAAATGGTGCGACTGAACCTCTCTAGTCAAAAGAGTATTATATGTCATGTTTCATTTGTTCATGTTTATTTGGAACTGAATACTGTATATAGCCATGCAGTGATTGAACAGTGGATTTTTCCTGGTGTATACAAGATGATTTTTTCATCCCTTTCATCTTATTTTTAACACATTTTAATTATCCTCAGTGGATCTTGTGAAATTTGCGTGAGTTTACCACAAATTTTCACAAATCAGCTATGAAAGCGAAATTATTACAGTGTCATATTTAAACTTTGATTTGAATAAATATTTTCTTAATGTCAGTCCACTGTGTTACTGAAAGATTGCTTGAGATTATTATTTTTTTATATTAAGGAGAGTACTTCACATTTGACTCATAGCAACACGTTTGAATTGCTATGCTTTGTATTACTGAAAAAGATCTGTTGCAGTTTATTGTGCTCCTAAGGACATTAATGGTAATGGCTGCTACCTCGTTCTGTGAACAAAACAAAAAAAAAGAAAAAAGAAAAAAAACATACTTCACATATTTTATATCACACAGGATTCGGGTGCTAACTGGCTCTGCAGACTCGCTTACTCACCCATGTGGAGCTGTGAGCACTAAAATTTGCATGTAGTTGCTAGGCCAGGATGAACCCTTAAACCCTGCACAGTACAGGCTGCATAAATAGCCATCATACCATAACCTGACATCCACTTGAAGAGCAACATGGCAAATGAGGTGATTACCTGCCCTCAATGATGCCTCGTCTCCTCTTCTTTGGTGTGATACAACCCATCCTGTCCTAGTCTCACTGCAGTGCTGGATCCCTCACTGCCAGGAAGTAGAGCTTGTTGCAGGCATCCGGTTTTCACTACAGTCTGCAGTCTCCCTCTCAGTTCATATCTGATAATGTATGCCTTGAAATAGGTAGTAAGAGGCTCTCCCTTTCTTTTGGTAGTGACTATTTCTGCAATATGTTGGAGAACCTGGTTTGTCACCAACCTACAATACAGAGTATGCTTCAGATCAGCAAAAAGCCTGTTTTTTTTTCTTTTCTTTTTTTTTCTTGTATGCTTGTTACAGCTTCTCATGAAGCATCCATTTATCGGTCTGTTCATATTATCTAAGTTCCATACACTGCTAATACAATATGTAATCTTTAGTATACAATGCAAGCTAATAGTGTTCTTCATCTCCCTGATTATGATAGAACGCTTTTACTTGATCTTATTTTCAGCTTGTCTGTCGTGCTGCAGGATCTGAAGGAAAGGGCAGCTACTGGCCTCAAAAGAGGAACTGTTATCTTAGGGCATCTGGCTGCTTGAGGTCCCATGGCAGAGGAGGCTGTGAATAAGGGCCCATCATCAAATAAATGAAATGGCTTTTTTCTGTCTTGTAGGTTTTTGCTTATACGTTTATAAAACTTTAGTGCTTGCCTTGGTGTAAAAAAAACTTACTAGAAATGATCCTGGTCTCCTTTGAGTTTTGTGCTCTCTGTATAAAAAAGCTGCCTTAATTCTTATTTCAGATGATTTTTATTCTAATCATATCTTTGGGGCTAAACTGTGTGCACCTGCTACTTGTGCCAAAGTTAGTCTACCATTGATAAAATATACTATTTTTGTCCTTTGAGCTTTCTTACTAGAGCAGTAATTTGAATACTGTGGACAAAGTAATACTTTTGGCATTGATCATTAAATGTTTTCATATGAGATCCCTGAATATGTTCCACCTCAGTGCTACAGCCATTAATTATGTGACATGCTTTAAACTGGCTTTTCGATACTACACATAGTTTTACAATCAATAGTAAAATGGAATTTTCAGAGTTTATACATTTTATCCTCTCTAAATTATCTGCAAATGTAAAAACAAGAAAAAGGTATAATACATTTTTCGTTCAGATATTTCTGTGTTTTTCTTATTTCTTTTATGTTGATATTTAAGGTTCCAGTGTGTTCTAACTGTGAACAGAGGACATAATTAGCTATTAATAACAAACTACTCCTCAGCCTTTTCTGTCAGTGACATACATTTTCTTCACAGCGTTCTATATAATCTCAAATATTACACACATAAAAAAAAACACTGGCATACCAAACAGTGCACTGGCATTAAGCGCCCATTAATATACCCAAGCCTCGGGAGCAGAATAAATAAGAAAATGAGGAGTTTAATGGTGCATTAGTGAGGAGCCAGTGGAACAGGCCTTGGGCTGTGTTTTGAATAGGCAACTATTATGAAAACCAACCTGTCACACACTTGAAAGAGCAGAGCAGTTGGTATTATACATTGTAATATAAAGTTTCCTCAAGGAATAGACTGCATGCTTTAGCTTGTTTATGATCGGCTGAAACTAATGTGCAACAAAGAGGTTGGATGAGCTGACCTTTTTTGTTAGAAAGTTATTTGAAGGGAAACTTTTAAAATTGTTTAAGATAACTGTTGTGCATCTTGCTTGCAATGTTATACAGGATCTGTACAATGTCAAAATGTTAAGTTGGACCCACATCATAGATACATTTTGATACTGCATAAATATACTGTGTTCACATTTATAAAATATTTATTGCCAGTATCAGGTGACACCATGTTTTGCATTGTTTTAAATGTGTGGCTGATGGTTGATATATCTGATTACAGCTGTATTTCTAAGCAGGTTTATTTTATTTTATCCTCACATTGATGTTGGAAGGCGACCTGTGGTGACTGTAGACATACAAGGCTCATTCAAAGGTTCCTATATTCAGGTAATTATGCAATAATAAAAACATAGTTATGAGTATTATATAGCATTTATGTAAATATATCCTCTTAAGTGACTGAATTGGATTGAAAGGAAGGGAAAAATAGTAATAGTAAGAAAGTGAGTGCCAGTGGTAAACAGACATCAAATGATATGCACTTGAAGTGGCAGGTTTGGAATAATAACATATCATTCAGCATATATCAAGAGAAGAATACCTGCTTTACAGCTTCACTTTGGTTGCTTAGCTGTACAGTCTTCAGTGTCATATGACAGTTTTATATCACTGCCTTAAATATACTAGTGTTTACCTGCTGCTCATTGTCCCAAATTTTATAGCTCTTTGTTCCAAATGTTTACTGTTGGCTTGTAAGCTACTTTGTGATATGACTTAAACACATGGTAATCACAATCTTATTTCATTTGGCTAATTACCAAGTGGAACAATAGCCCATGAATGCTAATGATGGGGAAATTAATTAAGAAGTGCAATCATCTTGTTTGTCTTGTGCTGGAATCTGCTCAGGATAAGATCCCAATCACATGGCGTTTTACTAATATACTTTTATTAGCTCTCCATCACAAACAAACAAAATAGTATAATGATTGGATTTTACTGGATAGTAAGCATCACACCGAGATGTGCAATTTGAAAATTACATCATTAGGATATTGCTAACAATAATGTCATTAAGTGTACTTTGATTGGTCGAGTAGGATTGATCAAAGGCATCACATTCTCAAAAGATAGGGTCTATATGTAAACATGTTGTGCTTTATTTTCAGTCTGATGATAATGTCACATTATTACTTATTTCAAATTTCTTCCTGTTTTTCAGCATAATTGTGTGCTGAAAATGTATAATATATTAAGCATTGACAGGCATTGGAATGGAGAACATGTGCAATAGTAGCTTTGAATAAAATTCCTTATATTCATGCAGACATAAAAAATGATTATTCTAATTATCTAAATTGTTTTCAATATCTGCTGAGGCACATTTTCTCCAACCCATTTTTTAGGATTTAAATAATGAACAATAACATTTTATTGGAATACTCTCAGCACTATCATTATCACTTAAATTGGAAAGTTGTAAGGCAGTCAGAGCACTGATTTATGGGAAGACATAATTTCAAGTTATTAGTTAACAAGTTAAAAATACTGCATAGATAGAATACTACAGTCAATGTACTGTACTGGTACGCGGTGTGCTTTATACATTGTCTTGTATATTCAGCCATGTGAGGTCCTGCATGGCAATGCTTGTCAGTATGCCTTATGTCCTTGCAGCATTGGTACAAAGAAGAATGCCTGTAATAGTCATATGGACTATACATGTTAAGAAGGCACTATGATTGCATAGTTACCATTTATCTACATTTCAATAGTGTTCCTCAGCCAAGTGTACATATATAAAGATAGTGTTATGCTCCCAAAGAGTCTTATTTTTTCATCATTTTGTTGATGAATAGCAGAAATAAGTTATTTTAATTAAATGCAATAATATAGTCAGTTAAAATGAATCAATCACCGATTTAAAAGAGTTATCATCATTATGGGAAATATTGACATCACAGATAATGAAGGGAAAACAACAACGCAATCTACTAGCTTTGTCTCTTAAAGTATGAGCCTTCCATTGTTATACTGTTCCTCTTCTCTCACAGTGTGAAAACAAGAATCAGACAATACAGAAAAACAACAATAGTTTATTTGAACCATATTTTGTGTATGAACTACAAACTCTGGTCTCTATAATCGATCTCCATATCTTTTAAAGGTCATGAAAGAATGCTTACATGAAAATCAATCTCTTATGTGTTTACATCATGTTTCTCTTTTTCACTTTTAGAACAGGTTGTTGGCACATGTAAAATCAAAAGTTAAAAATTTTTGTTTTGTTTTATTCTCAAAATGTATTTTTTATATAAATCTACCACTAGAACAGCATTCAATCTCAGAAAAAAGAAAAAAAAAGTGAAAAAACTAATATTGACCAAAAATATTTAGATATCTTACATACATGAGACAGCTCGACTAAAATGCAACAAATTTACGATTTAACTTTTCAGACGATTTACCTCCAACTAAAGGCAAAAAGGGAAGATGGTTACACTCTCTTACGTAAACTGAGTAGAATTGTGATCCACATCCCACCAATAGGAACTCAACCACAGACTAAATGACACACACCCAGGTCATTCTATGGTTTACAAATGTGCCAAACTCCACAGAAGTGTAACTATTGATAAATGGTGTCTGGGTGGGACAGAAAATGATATGGGGCAATTATCTTATTCATTTTGAAATGAAAATTACTTGGGGACCTATATGAAATTTAGAAATCTACCATCTGTGTTGTGTGCAGCACATTCAAAGTGAATAAATAAAGTATTGTATTTCAGTCAAATTCACTGAAAAGGAAATCTCCAGAATGATCTTGATTTTCAAATTAACATACAGAGGGTCTCCTCACTGAGTGGATACAACAGCCTCCTACATTTGCACCCAAAATGGTATCAAAGCTCCCATTAATAATTTCCATGGCAGCCTCCATAATTCTTGACCAAAAGGTGGGAAAAAAAATGTATGTAGAATTTTTTTTTAGCCGTTTCACATGGGACTACTAATATCAAATTACTTCTGTGTTAGGTGAAATATGGAAGGTAATTTGCCACAGTTTTTTTACTTAACAGATTACAGGCATAGATTATTTACACGTATAATCTATGCAATTATTGTATTACATACCACAAGAGGACCCCAGGTAATACTACTCTTGTGCAATTAGGGCTTTAGATTATTATCTTGTTGTTAAATTTAATTCTATTTTCACATCCTAGTCATGGGATATTGAGACAAACTGCTACTGTATCCCATTTATTCCCCCTACTTGAAAAATGCTGAGGCACATAAGCAATGTTAAGTAGCCTATTTGTCTTTTAGGTAAAAATCTGTTTTTTGGAGTAGAAGGGACTCACTTCATGTAGGCTTTTAAGGTGTCTGTTTATAGTTATATCCACCTGGTGATATAATAAATGACATAATGTTAATTTGTCTTTATTCTTAAATGTGGGATAGTTAACTCTTGTCAAACTTATAAGGCTAGCTAGTATAGTTCATATGGTTTTAACCAATGGAAGGGCGGGAGTTAGGTGCTGTAAGCAAGGATCCATACAAGTAATACAGCTTATAAGCTTAACAGTGCTTAAGCCAAATGGTAAAATGTGACAGAAACAAATTGAAGATACAGACTGACAGACAGCAGAGATGTTGATTATACAGCAGGAGTAATTCGAGAAGTATCTGTGGATGTGTTGGTACTTTATTTCTGCTGTGAAAACCACCATCACAGTGGAGTCCACTGTAACCAGTGAATCCAAGGTGATCAAAGCCTCTTATCTTTGTAAAATGGCAAATCATATACTTTTCACAGACACCTTTCAAGCCTTTTTCTACAATTAGGGGAGCTGCACTTATTTGCTAAAAATAAACCCCAGGCATCTCCCGAGGTGCGGAATCTGACAAATGTCTGCCTAACCTCTGTATTCATGATGCCTGGCAAAATTTTTCATGGGGGCTTTGAAATGGTTTCCAGGGTATGGGCGCCTGCAGAGCTGTGTCCATCCAAAGCCCATGGGCACATCAATTAAAATGGAAATTGTGTTGTCACTAAGGGAGAGGGAGAGAGACAGGTGCAACCCAAACATCTGGTTGATGCCCGATCCCACACATTCACCCATAAAGCCTCTCTCAGCATAAGCCCTGCCGCTCAGGGTTAAGTCCTGTGGTTGGCAAAGGCAGGGTGTGAAATCTGGGGCTGCCAGGTACTGCCCATGTGGAAATGTGGCACACAGATGACAGGCAATGTGCTCAGACAGCTGTATAAAGGGTTTCTGCTCTTTCTCCAGCTCATCAGTCTGCTTCTGATAGCGCTCAGTCCTGCAGTACTGCAGATGAGGTAAGGGGTCCCAGCATGAAAAGGGTGGCTTCAAAGCAGTTATCTTCATATGCAACAGTACAAAGTACTGTAAGGTAAAGGTGAGGCCATGATGCATCGACCTTTTTCAATCACAATTTTAATTTTAACCATTAATGCTGCTCCTGTATCATGACCTTCAGAATTTAAATTGGTCTTAATGCAATCAATGGAATGTTCTCTATAATAATCAGAAGATGTCTTGATTCAAAACAAGTGGAGATTAGGGATAACATAATACTTTGCATATACATTAGGCAAACAAAGACAAATGTAATTTTATTTCATAGTTAATCAATAGAATTTAATGTAACTAAAATTTACTTCTAATAGTGTGCCTCGACTTTTACAACAGCAGAATGCAGAACATATTCCCCTCATTTGGGACCCTCAGTCTATTGATGACAGAGCAGAGAGTGCCTAATATGTATGTGACAGATATAATTAAGCAGTGAATCATGATCAAATTTTGTCACTGACAGTTCTGTCACTCACTGTAAAATAATGAACAAGTGTTTAATTCCTCTCAGTTACAGATGGTCACAAAAGATTTCATCACTTAATCCACAGCTGGAGAAGATCACTACTCTAGATTCCTTTGATACATGGGGAAAACGAGGTTACTATCTGATCCAATCTAAAGTCTGCAATTTACCAAAAATGAACAATAATTTGTTTCAGGAGTTTTTCTTCCACAGATGTCTCTAAACAGAGTTTGAAAGCATATTAGTAAACTAATCACATGAAATGAGAGGAAGAAAAAAAAACATGAATTAAGTGCTGAAAAAATAATTGAAGAATACAATTTTTCTTGATTTAACCACAATACTTTTTTTCTTAAATAAATAACTTCTGTTTTGTAAAGACACTTTTTGAAACAGTAGACATACCCTAATTCCCAAAGTCATTGAATAAACATAACCAGTCACTGATTTGCCAAACACACCATGTTTCCAAACCTCCACGTTTGAGCCACAGTCCTGATAAGCAATTGTCAGTAATGTCCTGTCAGTAATACCTTTATGTGATTCCATCAGTTTTATAATGTCTGATTTTGAAAAAAAAAAAAAAAAAAAAAAAGAAAATTATTAGATTTGGGTCTCTTGTACATTGTCTTTTGAGCTGGCCCGGATTAACAAAGGTTCGTGCGCTGAGCTGTGTATGGAGTTGATAGTGGAGGCATGGTTGTATGCAGTCTTATAGGTGTTATAGTGGTTGAGGTGCTCATGCTCAAGAGGAGGCAGAGTCAGGTGGCCCTCCATGCCCGGGCCTCCTGTTACACAGTCCTCCTCAACATTGATGATCTCAATGCTGCGTGTGGGTGCGTGGTGGTTCTGCTGGTGGTGTTGTTTGCGCATCTTGTAGAATATAATCAGCATGACAGCTGCCATGAGTGTGATTGCAACAAAGCATCCAATGATGATCTTGGTTGTCTTCATGACCTCATCCAAGCCGTTCAGTGGACCCTCCCCACCCAGCTCCGTGACAGGGATTGTGTAAGTCTTCTCTGTGGCGCGGGTGGAGAGTGGTGTCCGGACTGTTGTGGTAGTTGTAGAGGTGTGTGAAACAGACTCCCATATACCAGCAGAGGGGGTGGGGCCCACCTTCTGTTGCACAGTAGTGGTGAAGCCTTCATTATGTGGTGTTTCTATGGTCTCTACTGTCACTGTGGTAAAGTAGCTGAAGCTGCTGTTCTCTGTAGAAGACACATTGAGCGTGGCAGATGCTGTTGTGTTGCCTGCAGAATTACTGACCATACATGTGTATGTGCCTGTGTCCTGCATAGTGACATTGGTGAAGTTCAGAGTGCCGTCATTCAGCACAGAGATTCTGACCTTGTACGCACCGTGTGTCATTATGGAACCATTGGGTGTAATCCAGCTTACCGAGGTCAGGGAGCTGGCTCTGCATTTCAACTCTGCAGCACTTCCCTCTGTCACATTTAGGTCTGCAGGAGGCTCCACAATAACAGGAGCATAACAGTGGAAATAGTTCTGATCCAGCTCGCCAATGTATCGTCCCTTATGGTGGGATGGTGAGCTGCAGCGGGCACAGCAGCTGGTGTTTGCTGGTACCATCTCCTTAAGCCACCAGCTAAGCCAGAGGATATCACAGTTACAATTCCATGGGTTGTGGTGCAAGTGCACCCTCTCTAGGTGATGTAAAGGAGTGAAGAGATCATGGGGCAAGAGGGTAAGGTTGTTATGGGCTAGATTGAGCTCCACTAGCGACTGCAGGTCATCAAAAGAGTTCCTTTCAATGGTCTGGATCTGGGCATGCATCATCCATAGCTTCTGCAAATGGATGAGCCCTTTAAAAGAGCCAGGTCGGATGACAGATAGCTGGTTCCCCGACATCTCAAGTTCATCCAGCTTCACCAGGGGAATGAGGTTGGGAATTTCTTTCAGATTGCACATTCCCAGGTTTAAATAGCGCAGATTGCTCAGCCCTTCAAATGCCCCGTCAGATATGTAGGAGAGCCGTTTGAGCTCTCCAAGGTCCAACCGCCGTAATGAGGGAACTCTGTTGAAAGCATAGGAGGGAATGCTCTCTATGGGGTTATTCCTTAGCCAAAGCTCCTTTAATTTGGACAGGTACTCAAATGCCCCGTTTGGGATAGTAGTGAGGCGATTATCAAAAAGCTCCAAGGTATTGAGGCTGGCCAGTCCATTGAAGGCTCCCAGCTCAATTTTGCGTATGTGGTTTTTGCTCAGCTGCAGGATCTCTAGATGTCTTAGGTGCTTGAAGCTGTCCACTTTTATGACCTGAATGAGATTTTCTTGCAGATTCAGGTAGCGTGTGTTGGTCGAGATGCCATCAGGGACATCACGCAGGCCTCGCCGGGTGCAGATGACTTTGCTGAACTGGTTACTACAGGAGCAGACAGAGGGGCACGTCTGAGCACGTACAAGCCCTGCCACCACAAGCAGCTGGAGGGCCAGGAGCAGCACAAACAAAGGGTCGGACAAGGCCCGGTTCCACCTAGGACCTCGCATCATCTGCTGCTGCTGAGAGGAGGTCATCTTGTTTAACATTCATAATTCATTGACTGGTCTTCCACTCTTTGGAAAGAGGATTTGGGCTCACTGGAATGAAATGAGAGACAGAAGAGAGAGGAGATTAGTATATATATATAGGAGTATAATGCATATTTGAGATTATCATGTCACTTCTAATCATTACCACAGAAAAAAGAAAACTTTTTTTTTTTTTATCTTTTATTCAAGTTTGTGGATCTGTTATAGCCACTAATAATCACACATATATACACCCACAACTTGCAACCTTTATGGAGTGCCTTATATCTATTTCTGTTTCTGGGTGCACTGTCCTCCTCATACTCTCAATCTTAGTCACATAAAATAAAATCACAATAAAGCTGCGACTTCTGTGCTGTATATCTGCAGGAGGAGGAAGGGAGGGAAGAAAAGCAGCTATGACTGCTGTGTTCTGTGATTTATATTTGAGACTGGGGGGACATAAATAATAAGGGAGCTCGCCACCCACCAGTCCTTCAATCGAGTCGAGATATCTGGAAACGTCTGATTACAACTCACAGTTCCTCAAAGGCACGTATGTGACTGGGATGTCAAACAAGCAAGCCAAAATGGGACTGGGGAATTTGTTTGTGTAACTCTCTATGTATCACGCCAGAGGAAACTGTGGAAATACAAACAATGTATTCTTTGATTAAGATTTACTGTGTGCAAGAGAAATGATGCCATTACAGTTATGGAGTGTAACTAAATGACAGATGTTTATATAATTGATTCAGTGTATGCTATCTGCCTGATTTCTGCTCAATAATACCAGTATTCCTAAATGTTGTTCACGTTTTCATGGTTGTACAGTGAATAATAGTTTTAAAAGGTCTTGGTTCTATAGTTTATATAAGCTGAAATACAAAACAGCAAAGAGGCAACTTGTGGGAGTAAAGCTACAAACTACTACTACTAAAAGTTTTGAGAAGGATAAACTTAAGAATACAAAAGTTATAAACTGTTTTTTAAATTAGGAGTTTTAAAAGTGACCTGAAACACAGTAATTATTAAATCAATAATTTAATTCATCAAGACAACAAAGTCTGTATTAGACATAAATCACTACAAGTGAACACCAGTATGTCTAAATTATCCAAATGGTGCTTTGGATTGAATTAAAATCCCAGCAGCATAAGTTTTTGGCCAAGGGACACATAGAGACAGCTGAGAAGTTTTTGGAACAAATTTAAAGAGGTACTCAAGTATGAAATATCAATATGGAAATGCATATCCTTTAAGAGATAGCTTCTTACAGTACTTACATGCTAATTACATTAGCATTAGCATAAGTGTTCATATGTGACATCCCTGTTTTAGCAGTACCTAATAATATTAATGGAAGTTAACTATATTTTCAACTATTTATTTAAGACTATATTATAGCTGTCTGTTAAATATATAGTAATTTATGCTGTGTGTGAATGTTGAGATAGGCAATATCATCTTCAAGTTTTGAGCAGTGCAAAGACTGCCTCAACAACATTGTGCTTATCATATATGTCTGAAATCCTTCTTACATATTATTTTTCATCACTGTCACAAAGCTGGATTTTTTTCCCTCTTGAAGTAAAAGACAGGGAAACACTCTGAGCAGGTCGAAAGTGAGTCACAGAGCTAACACAGATAAAGAGAAACATTTATAGAGTCTCTAATCTACCTGACCTGAATGTTTTTGAATGTGGGAGGAAACTGGAGCACATTCAGAAAATCAATGTGAACATGAAGAATAAATGTGAACTACACACAGAAAGGGCTAGAGTTACAACCTGCAGTGAAATGACAGTGATAAACTCTGGTGTATATGTTGTTAAGCTACAAACAGCTACAGTAAATCTCAAAACTTGTCATGAGGAGAACTACGACTGTCTCACAAATAAGTTTTAATCTATAAACAGAACAATGAGCTCCACAAGGCAAGGGTTCTCTTGGGATGCGTTTGATGAATAAAATGAAATAGCTGTCATATTTAAATAAGGTAATCAAAAACAATCGTTGTTATTTATTCTTATTGAGTCAATTGTCATTGACGCTGTTTGTGAGTTTAGAATATAAATGAACTAAAAAATAAAATTCTAAAATTGTGTATGACATTTTAAAATGATAGGGGTTGCTGTAAATAGACAAATACTTCTTCTTTTCAGCACTTAGACAGCTCAAAGACAGCTGATTTCTGAACAGAGTATAGTAAATCAACTACATGAATGCTGTTGTGGGATTACAGTATATTCTGTTTCCGTACTGTATGTTCAACACACAGACTAATCTGAAACAGAAAGCTCTTTGCTTAAGAATGAGCAAGCTATTACTGTAACTACTGATTAATTGCTTGATTACTGACTCCATTAATTCTTCAATTACAAAATTCAAATTCCAAGCAGTCAAAGCCTGAGGGTGGAGCAAGAATGTGTTTTCATGCAGGGGACCAGGCAAATATGACAGAGATCACCAGGCTGAAAGTCACATTCTATTCAAGTAAAAAGAAATTAAATTCCATCAATAATATGACAAACTAGAACATATGTTGTACAGTGTGGATTTGTGAATATCTATCTCTTGGAAAAGGAATTCCTGTATCTTATTTCATTATTTACTCATCCTCTTCAACAGATCAAACCTTGAAAAGCGATACAATCATCAGAACAGAATCCAAATTATGGCATCAGAAAAGAAGAAGTTAATTTACAAATCAAAACAATACGTCCTCACATTGACAATAAAAGCGGCAAAATTGGATTTACGTGTGCAGTGAAGGAATTAGATGAAGAGGGATAAGGAAAATGAGATTAAGAAAAGAATGAATTTTCAAACTTCTGTCGTAACAGATTACGAACTGCTGTTTCTTTGTCTGTTACAGAGAACTAAAGCCTGACCCAGATTAGCAGGACTGCAGACAATTGATGAGCAAGATCTGCAACATTTCTGAATTAATTTCTGGTTTATGAAACAGAAACAATTCTCACTGAAGACAACAATGCAAAGGAACTATGGTCTCTTTGGTAACATGGATGATTAAAAAGCATAACAACATGTCACATAAACATATACCTTAATGTGAATTCATATGATCCATATACATTCTATTGTCTAGGATACTAGTTAGGGCAAACCACACATTTGATAATATGCCAGTATGCCAGATTTCCTAAATGATGATTTAGCATTAGCACTTGATTATACAGTAGTATGGATTTCCTTCAATTTAGTGACCACAGACAGTGAGGACATTTCTGAATTTAGACTCTCCTAAAACTAGGAAATGTTTTGGATTTAACAGTGATGTATACTTGTGTGTCATCTACATACAAATCTATAGAAACTGTATGTATGTATCAAATTATTTATGTTGCTAATATAAACATGAAATGAGATATATAAGCAAAAAATGTTGCCTGGTATGAATCAATTACTGTACTGAAGGCACTTGCAAATGTGCCTGCTTAAATTATTGCGTGTCACATTTCTCCATACATCAGGGTGTAGTACCACCAACTAGCTCTTCGCTCCTTTTGCCACAGACCACTTAAAGGTAACCAATGGGAATTAATTTTGGCAGCCATAGAAACAAGATACTCATCCTTTTTCATGACACAACTAAACAATGCTCATACTGCATAAATACAACAGCTGTCTTGCTGATATTACTCAGCTCTCCTCATCCAGATAACACATACACACTCAGTACAATGGCCACACTTTCAAGTCTTTTCAAGACTTTAAACTGGTTGCATCTAACATACACTGATCAGCCATAACATTATGCAGCCCCATACGCAACAAACTGTGATGCACTGTGTATGACACTATTCTATCAGAACCAGCATTGGCTTTTTCAGGAATCTGAGCTACAGTAGCTTGTCTGTTGGATCGGACCACATCGGCCAGCTTTTGCTCCCCATGTGCATCAATGAGCCCACAACCCTGTCTCCAGTTCACTGCTTTTCCTTCCTTGGACCACTTTTGATAGGTACTGACCACTGCAGACAGGGGACACCCCACTAGAGCTGCAGTTTTGGAGATGCTCTGATCTAGTTGTCTGATCATCACAACTTGGCCCTTGTCAAATCCTCACGCTACCCATATGATTAGATTAGATTAAGAAGATACTGTGAGTTAATCACCTAAAGCACTGGCACTGATAGCCTACCATAATTTCACAAGTTTAGATTTAGTTCCATGTTACACACCATTTTTAGGGACCGAGCCAGCACCGGCAAGGTCCCTATTGTATTTGCTCCGTTTCTTATTATTTTTAGCCCCCATTGACTGCATTTTGCCCCCTGAACATATACGAAAAGTCAATTTTATTTGGCAAAGTGATCAGGCCTGGTGAAAATGGGGATATTACATGCCGCTTCGGGTCTGCCACTAGGTGGCGCTACTATCATAAAAATGCGTTTAGGCTAATAACTTCTGCATAGTTTGTCGCACATTCAAAAAACTTATATCCACGCGTTCGGTGAATGGAGCTGAATCTCCCCATATAAGCCCCGCCCACTTCCGCCTAGAATTTTTTTTCTAGAGCGTGAAATGTCCTTGAACTACTTTTCGGGTTCCTCCTACACGCTTTGTCCGATTCGCACAAAACTTTCACCTACCACCTGGGGACCGCCCCTGGCAAAAAAGTAATTTGAACCTTTTGAAATTTAAAAAATAAGCACGCTATAAAATTCCAACTTCCTGTAGATTTTCGTCAAAAGGAAGTGGACCATTTCTCCACATTGGTATGTCCGATTGACACCAAACTCGGGTCCATAGTTCAACATGTCTTCCTTAAACATCGTGCACAATTTCAGGCCATTGCCACTAGGTGGCGCTCTTTAAAATGAAGAAGTTTATATCTCTACAACGGTATGTGTGATTAAGATGAAACTTGGATGATGCTTCCCCTGACTCCCTGAGGCTCCCTTAAAAAGGAAAAACCAAATACGCCACTAGGTGGCACTCTTTGGCATGAAAATCACTGTGCGAATACCGTAATAGTTATGAATATGAAATTCACAGGGCACGTGTAGAGTAGTGCCTGAAGCTCACATACCAAAAATCGT